TACACAGAACACGCAGACACAGACAGGACAGACAGTCCTGAAGCCTGCAGAGTCTGGAGATGCTTCTGGCTCAATGCTACTGTGCCCCTCATGGACTCATTAAAGATGTGAAAGCAGGGAAGGACAGGCTGGTTATTTCTAACCAGGATGGCTTTTGCTACTTTCTTTATCACTTTCCAGCACAAACCAAAGTTAAGTATCACAGGTTGAAAATTCAATGGCTGGAAACCAAATCAGGTACTTCTAAAGAAGCTCAGAAACTGGGCAAAGGCAGCCAGCCAGCCTGACAGGTCCAGTGTCAGGTTGAGGTTATTTTGCTGGCTCCCTTTCATAAATCCTGACATCTACTACAGTGGATACTTGAAGAGTCAATGCTCAGTCTACTGTATGATGAAGCAAATGAACAAAAAGAAAGAAAACAGTATCCTATCCTCTTCAATACTCCAATTCAGAACAACAGCCTGCAGCTAGGACAAGGTACCAGCTACAGAACAGCAGCTCATCTGACCTCCTTCTTCAGCTGGCTTATGTGACAGTTGTGTTCAAAGGAAGGGCTGCGTTTGTCTTTAGTTCCATGACCTCAGCATATGCATCCCCTACATCCTATTTTGATACAATCACCCCCTCTCTACACTTCAAACACTGGCTGCCCTAAATCTCCAGAAGTTGAAAGGACAGCGACCCTCCTGCCCTCAGACAGTACTGCTTTTATCACCATGGGCTCCTGCTGAAAGGAGAACTCCAGAGAAGCTTGGGTTTGATCTGATCAGCATAAACAAACCAAATGGGGTGAGGAGACGCACTAGTCAAATTTCCCTCCCTTACATGGCCTGAAAATGTGTCCAGGACCAGACTAGCAAAATACAGAGATCAACATGGCTGAATCATGGCCAGGATGGAGAAGATACTAGACTGATTTATCTGCGCTAGATCAAGCTCAACCACATACCCAATCATGCACACGCACACCCACACGCACACGCACACGCACACGCACATGCACTTGAACACAAAAACCACACAAAGGCAGTAGGGGAGGAGGTCAGTGGAAATTCCCCTTTCCAAAGTGTCTCCACAAGACACGGAAATGCAACAGAAGACTCAACTCATGAGATCTGAGGCTTTAGAAGCAAAGCAGGCAGGATTAGGCGCCCGTGTGAAAGGCTGGCCTCTCCCTTGATAGCTGTGTCTCTGCAGCAGAGACGATCTACAGCCCAATCAGCTTTGCAGACTCTGGGAAGGGACAAAAGCACTGCCTTGATACTCAGCACTGGGTAAGTGACACTACGGACAGAGCTAAAGACCATTCCTATGCATGCAGTCACTACAATGCAGTGAGCAGCACGCACTCTCACCTCTGCACAGCTACTCCCTACGTTCCCAGGACTTACAGCACGGCCAGATGCCTTTCATGGTCAGATGGTTCATTGTTTTAAAAGCTTCAGTCTAAAATCCAAAGATTGTTAACAGATGCAATTTCTGGCTAGAGACTGGGAAAAACCTCATTTAAACAAAAGGCTATGTTGTGATTGGAGCTAAAAAGGGAATTACCTCTAAAGATAAGAACCACAAACATTTCCTATTTGAAAATACCCCCAACGCCACCGACTAGACCTTTTTTGGACCTTTCATGCAAGTTTAAGAATTTGACAATGGATTGCTGCATGTGCAAACCAGGATGGAGCAGCCAGTGCAGCAAGTGAGAGAGACGTGTTTGGATTTCAGCAAGACCACAGTATCCATCACTGACGCTCCCAACAGTCAACCACGCAAGGTTCAGTTCTTTTTATCATTTTCACCCCAGAAATATTCTCACTGCTTGTATTTTGGCTTTGGAAATAAGGTTTCAACCATAGACTCAAACAGACAAGTTTCCTAAACCACATAGTTGATAAGCAGAGGAACCACTGCCGGGATCCGAGCAGCTGCTGGGAGGAGTGGAGAAGGCCCCTGGCTGAGATCTGCCTGCCCCAGGCTGCTCGGCCCTTGTTTGCACGCGTGACTTCTGTTCACTTTGACCCAGAGAATCTGCTCCTGGGGGTCTGTTCCTGTTGGCTGCCATGGGCCCTTACCCTGCTCTTCACTGTGTGAGTGAACGTCTGTGCTGCTCTAGGTTCTAATCTTGAAATAAGGAAATCTGAAGGAGCCATAGGGGAAGCTTGCCCTCAGCCTTAGAAATGGATGTGGTTTGTCTTACTGGTGATAAACCTGGACTGAAAAACCTGTGTTCCAGGGGAAATGATGTTTTAAGGCAAAGGATGGTCTCCATGAAGCCCATGCTAAGAGACATCACAAGAGACGAGGTAAACAGCATATGCCTCTGTTGGTTAGGTTTCTGTCATCACAGTTGTTCACTACATGCCTCTTAGTTTACTGCAGTGTCCAAAAGCTCCAGTTTTAGGCCTCAGGCACAATATTATTTTAACAATGGGAGAAATTCTAGTCCTGATGATCTGGAGTCGATAGGCTAGAACAGTGCCTGCCTCACAAGCGGAAGGTCCCAGGTTTGGATGCAGAGACAGTTTTGCAGAATCAGCAAGCTCCAGTTTAGAGACAGGTCTTCTCTCAGAAAGTGAGATGAAGAGTGATTAAGAAAGACACTAGATGTACACACATACCATGGGAGTCTCTAAAGAAATTGGCATCCCAAATGAGCTATGCAATTGCTTCTGGAGAGGGGCTAGAAGAATACGAGAAAATCTATGCGGGGTAGCCAGGTTTGAGCAAGAAGAGGCCATGCCTCAGAAAGCAGATTCCATGGCCAGTGGTCCATATTCATATCCATATTCCCATTAAAGGCCAAGCCTAACACACGAGTACACACACACACACACACACACACACACACGACCTGCAGAGGGGTCTTATAAGCCTGGACACTGATAGATGAGCAGCAGCTGTGAGCCTGAGCACGCAACTGTTTTCTAGTGGTTGCCTTCTGTAATGTGAGGGGCAGGAGTTTCCATGACTAACTTTTACTTGCTGTCAAGGATGTAATAAGATATAAGGAAGAAGAGAACTTTCCCCCAGTAAGCTGTTCCCAGTCGCATTTCCTTTTCCATCCTCTGGGACATACACTCGATTTGCAATGTTTCATAATTTAGAGGGAAAAAAGTCCACACCAGGACTAACCAAACAGAACAAGTCCTCTGTGTACAGTGAGCTGGTTCAGTGGGCAAAAGCACTTGCCCTAAAGCCTGACAATCTGAGTCTGATCCCTGGGTCCTACACAGTGGAAGGAGAGAACTGACTCCCAAAAGATGTTCTATCTGCTGGCCACATGAATGTCATGGCATCGACACAATGAACAAATGACCAATTAGTAATATGAATAAACAATTGAAGAAAAATGATGATATAAATTCATCAGAACAGGACTGAATACATCTTACTTTCATTCATTCTAAAATCTCTTTCTAGTGAATGAAACATGCTGCTTGACCTTTCAATGTAAGTTTTCAGTGCTAAACAGGTCCAACATGGAAGAGCAGAAGGGGAGGCACACTGATGGACCAGGACCATGGGCTACAGAATGATGAGGATGTTAGGATCATAATGGACTGATCTGAAGATGATGCTGAGATGTTAGAGCTGGACAGATCTTTCAGCAAAGGCCACCAAAGAGAAATCTGACATGTCATTTACCTGTTTTAACTGCACAGGTGGAAAATTAAGTATGCTTTAAATTTTGTGGCACTCTTTGTAGTGCCAGTAAAACTGTTATTAACCTAGTACAAAGTATGCGAAGAGAGCTGTAAGGATCAGTAGAAAACAGTGCCTCATAAGCAGCTAATGTCAGCTACAGCGATAAGCATGCACACTCACTGATTACTGAGACACCGAGGACTCTGTGGTGGCTGGCATACCAGTGACCCAGGCAGAGGCACTGAGAGACAGCCACATTAATAGATGGACGCTCCAAACTGCATCTGACCATCTAATAGAAGGTGTCCTAATACTGGGTTGCAGCCATTTGTTGCTGGGTCCCTAGGTCAAGAGTGTGTAATCAGGGTGTCTGTTGCATGTTAGAAAGAGCTGGCTCTTTCTCTTAGGTGGTGGCTCTGACCTGGACATTAAATTTAATGTCCATTTAATTCAAATGTCAGATGTAACAGGGGGAAATGCATATGGGGATGGTCTAAGAATCTGGTGCAGCTTTAAAAAATGGGAGCATGAACTTAATTCCAGTGCTCTCTGCCAAGTGATGCCCTGTACCATGGATGCAGAAAGGTTTTCAGTAGTTTCTCGCTGCCCCCAGTGTCATTTGTCCCATCTCCTGAGGTGATACAGTACCAGCTTTTAATTGTTAAGTGACTACCCAGAATGAAGGTACTGCCATGTTCCTCACAATGAGGCTTGAAAGGATGTAGAACTCCTGAAGTGAGGGCCAGCAGTGGATCAGTGGGTGAAACAAGTGCAAGGCAGACACCCTGACTTCAATCCCTGGAACCCACGGTGGAAGAAGAGAATGGACTCCTGAAAGTTGTCCAGTGAGTGTCACAGATGTGCTGCGGGATGAACACAGCAGGCTGTGTGCTCCACTTCTCCCGTTTCTCATTTTCCATTTTGGAATGGGAACTGGCTGAAGAGCACTTTGGACTATGTGGACAGCGAGGCCACACTCTAGAGGCAGCAAAGTGTGAAGCTTTACTACAGTATGTAAACAGCTATGACACCCATCTTCATTCACCTTGCACGAACTGCTACGGGAGGAGCAGGGGAGATGCTTCTGCCTCATACAGGCCTATGTTATTTTAGGTCTCAGTTACACACAGTTATGAGTAACGGTGACGGCTGTGTGGATCCCCGGGAGTTGCTCATAAAAACAACATCCGAGAAGTAGTACTTCACTATATGGAGCTGCAAGGCTATAACGTGACATGTTCAAACTGGTTTCCGCATCACAAAGAGCTTTCTGAGTCCAGCAGATGTAATGCGGGAGCAAAAGGAGTCGGAAGTGACATTCTTCTGTTTAACTATGATCATGGTGAGTATCTTACCATTTTCTTGCTACAGTATATCTGCCACTTTTTCTCTGCTGGAAGTGCAAACATGGCTTCCCTGTGTTTGTCTGTGAGGTCAAGTTCATCCTGAGAAGAAGAAAAAACAAAGATTAGTATTACAGAGATCAATATTATCCCTATAGAGTACACTGACAGTGTCATCAAGGAGAAAAGCAATTCACCAACACACAGTTAAGATGGAAGTTAGTTCAAAGTATGTTTTATGACGACTAATGTAGCTTCCCATGGCATAGGGCCAGACCCCAGCACTGCAAGGTGGAGAAAGCACAGCACTACGGGTGCCAAGATTTGGGGGAATGGCCAGGTTGGGCCTTAGCTGTTGCTAATGCTATGGATAGTCCACGGAGTGCGCTGCAAGGCTGTTAAGCCACAGGAATTCAGGATTAATCATATTAAAAGTGATGGTTTGCTGCTGACAATCTTCCAGAAAGGATAGAGATTACAGAAAATGTATTCTTGGGCTGAGCACTGGATGGTTTACACATGATAGGAATGAAAATGTACCAGACACTCAATACCAACAAAAGCACTGACTACAGATAGAGTTCTTATTAAATGCCAAGGTCTTTTCTCTAAGCACTCCATAGTCATTATCCAAAAATGGATTTGCGAATGGAGTGCTTTAATTTAGATTCTGAATGTCCCCCAAAGGTTCATGTACTAGAAATCTCTTCCCCAGCATGACACTATTGGAAACGGATGGAACCCTTTTGGGGTAGAGACTAGAAGAAACATGACCTTAGGTTAGTGGGGTATACCCCGAAAGGGGATTGAGGGACCTGTCCATTTCCTCTCTCTGTCTCCTGGTCATGATATGAATGGTTTTTGCTTTGCCAAGTGCTCCCTTTATGATAATGCTGCCTTGATTCAGTCCATAACAATGCCAAGGATCATGACATGGAATTTTCCAAACTGTGGGGTTGGCATAAACTTTTTCTTTTTATAGGCTCACTATATTGGATGTTTTTTGTTATAGTGATAAAAACTAAGGCAGCCAACAGAAATCAAAGCCTAGGTTTGGATAATAGATTTGGTACATAAGGGAAACCATAGCCAGTTTAGATGAAGCAGTGAGCTATACAACTCACTGAATTGGAGCTAAGGCTATAACCAGTTTGTAGAAGGCCTTAAGTGCCAGGCCAAGGAACATCATCATCATCATCATCACCTGAGAATGAGTGTTTTGCCTGCATGTCTGTGTGTGCATCACATGCATACCTGGTGTCCATGGAGGCTAGAAGAAGGTATCAGCTCCCCTGAAACTGGAGTTACAGACAGTTGTAAGATGCTGCATGGGTACTGGGAATTAAACCCAGATCCTCTGGAAGAGTAAGCAGCCAGTGCTCTTAACCACTGAGCCATCTCTCTAGATCTGGGAACTTTCTAGTTTTGAACACAATGAGCCAATGGAGTTTTGTGTAAGTGCCTGGTATCATCACCATAACCCTTAACTAATATGTCCTAAGGATTTTGTGTACAGACAGACCTTTCCTGTTTAATTCTCACAATGAACCTGAAGAGGGCCACTCATTATCACATCCCTTACAATAATAATCTCCAGTGTGAGAGGGTTAAGGGGAACGGACGGTGAAGCTTAGATACTTCCTCTGGCCTACACACCTGCTGAACAAAGAGGCTAGGTTTTTATCCCCAGAGCTGTGTGCCTCCAGGGTCCCGACTCTTAGCTTCTCGGCTAGATGCTTAGAAACATTAAGCCTACGGGGTGGAGAGCTTGGGAAGTCAACTTACAGACATTTATAACTAATGAATAGCAGCAAAGAGATAATGAATAAGGAGTGTTTAGAGAGAAAGTCTTGGCATCTAGTAACTCCATCCATAGTTAATGTGATTATTGGTATTGAGCGCCTGGTTCATGTATGTTCCCACAGGGAAGGTTATCTAGTTGAGAGCTGTAGACGGCTGGATGTGGATAAAGATAAAAGCTATAAATTAGGGTTCAATAAGGTTCTGATCTCTAATGGCAAGTTCTATTGAATGGCTTGTGTGTATATCTGCTGTCAGTCATACTTGGGAACTTGCAGGTACAGGTCATTGGCTTCCTATCTTACATTTTACACTCCTATGACAACTTAGTCATCAAGTGCCATTACACCCTCCTTGAAAAGATTTTCCCTTTGTTTCATGCACCATGGAACCACCCAGACTTACTTATGTCCCAGTAACCCTGCTGGGGCTTCTGGACAGCCCCTCACACATCTTCCTTGCCCTTCCAGTACTGTCTACTCAGCACACCTAGTTCTCTTCAATCATTTCTGCTTTCAATCCTGGGTGAGCACCAGAATCACCAGAGGGCTTCTGACCTCACTGACCACTAGCATGTAGGCCATCAGGGAAGGTGTGGTGTAGGCATTTCTGTTAGGTTTCCAACCTCTTGCTGATGCTCTGGTCTAGAAACTATGTGTTAGAGTCACTGCCTTGAAAATAAACCCTGTGCTATTTCAAGCATGCAGTCCAGAATCTTTATGACTTCCATGATGCCTGAAAAATTAATTACCCATTCTTCAGCTGGACTCTTGAAGGCCTCCATTTGTAAAAGTTTCTCTGCCAGGGTAACTTCTAATTAGCTCTTTGCTTTAATCTCATTAACATCTGTCCCTCCAGAGTCTCTAACAGGTCAGCTTCCCGCCTCTGAATCCCACCAAGTCACTGCTTCCTCTCCGGAACAAGCAGACCACTAACTCTTCCTGCAAGCACTAGCAATGAGGAACCATGCAGTAATGCCTGGCTCAGGGTAGCAACTGTACTGTAGTTATTTCTCTCACTTGAACACAAATCAGTTGCTAGCTAGTTTTAAGAGCGAAATAAATAGTTAAGGCACTAAAATATGTACACACACACACATGCAATCATACTCTAACCAAAAGAAACTGGCTAATGAATAGCCAAGGAAGGAAAGAAGAAAAGAAGAACTGGCATCGAAAATTTCATTATGAGAGAACATGTTTAAAATGCTGAAATTCTGGCATGCAACTTTATATATGGGAAGTAATTATCTTCCTTCCTTTTTAAATTTCCTATGAGTCACACCTGCTCTGAAAAACAGGGGAAGCAAGGCGAACATAAATCACTTCCGAGCAATCAGCCCAGTTAATCAAACTGCTCAATAGTACCTAGCTTAGTTTGGGAAAATGCTTTTGATTTGAGGGAACAGCATTCTTAACAATACACATTTACTATATATCAGCATCGTTTTTCCTGAATATAGGTGTGGACAAAATGTGTGGATCCTAAAACTTCAAAATTCACAGCATGGGTGAAATAGTGTGCGATTTTGCTGAGTTGCAGATATGACCTATTTTAAACTGTGAGGACATAGAGGAGCTGGGGCACACAATCTAATGCCAAAAGAAAATATTCACAGAACAAAAACAAATTGCTGTAATATTCCCACAGAAAATTTTGATCTACAATAAGGACATGGAAAAGGATAAATGTATTCTGACAATAATAGCTAATGACTGTTCAACATTTTCTATGTGTCTGTTAGTAATATTTTATGTAAATTAATTTATTTTAACTAATATATCAATCCCACCAAGTGGGTATTATTACTAACCCATTTTCTAAAAAAACTGGGTCATGGAATGATTGAGCACCTTGTCCCAGGCACAAAGATAGCAAACAGCTGAAGTGAGACTTAAGTACAAATGGACTGTAGAGTCTGTGCTCTTTCAGGGTACTGTCTAGTCCACCAGCAGGTAGGTGGGTTCATGTCACAGAAACAGGCATGAAGAAGCATCCATCAAGTGTCTACAAGAAGCAAGAGATGTGCTTTATTGGCAGCTGTCCCTGAGTTGTAGGCTTTGATTGATCATACATCTTGGGCAAATGACATGGCCTCTGACTCTCAATTCCTTTATCTGAGGACACAATGTGAATGCAATCCTTTAGTCATCTTGGAAATTCATTCATGGAACCAAAGGTACTTTGTGTTGAGTATCTAGTAAATGTCAGGCACTGAGACAGGTTTCGGGACAATAAGGGTGTCACTTGCTCATGAGGACAGAAGAGGAAATCAGATGCCAACTTTAGGATGATCACATGCTAAGTTGGTTGTAGGAAAGTTGGTACAGTGAAGGCTTCCCCAGGTAAATGACATGGTCAACAGGAACTAAAGAGGTAGAAAGCACTGGAGACAGTAAACAGCAGCCATGAAAACCACTCTCAACTCGGTCTTTATCCTTAGAGTCAGCAAAGATGAGTAGTAGATTCCCAGGCAAGCAAGCAAAGATTAAAGCAGATAATTTAAATTCAGGAGTGCAGAAACACAATGTATAGGATATAAAGAGACCCTCACTGGTCCATTCGAAAGTTTCTTTACTCTGGCATCCTATTTAATGATGTGGCAAGAATGCATGATTCTGAAGGTTCCATCAGCATCTCCTACCTAGTCTAGGACTAGAGCAACATAAAGAATGCAAAGATGAATAAGACACACTGGCTTCAGGGTACTTATAACCTCTCTACAAAGATGAATAGGAGGTTTTCCAGTTCTCTTTCTTTGCAGGAAAAAGTACAAACTCTAAGCAGGTAGGGGCTTCCTGACAGGGTCCCTGTTGACCTGCCTCACCTGACTGGCCCCTCCACCAGCAGCACCTCCAGCAGTTCTGACCACACTTCCCCAGCCTCTAAAACCCTGCATACAGTGTGTTCTTTCTCAGGCGTGCTCCTCCCAATGCATCCTAGTCATCCCAGCTTTCTCAAAGCATCAGCTACCTACTTCACATTGTGGGTCTGACTGTCCTGGGGTGGCCAGTTCCTCAGTGCCCTAAAGCATTTTTCACATGATCATGGTCAGGCGATTGGCTTGTCTCCCTCCCATTGTGGACTGATTCCTAGAGGTAGCTAGGTAGCTCAGTTTGTTCTATTCATCTTCGAATTAACTGCCAGTACCTGACATAAAATGACACTGGAGGAATGCAGGAGTAGGGAAAATATAAGGTAGGAGGAAAGAAAGGTCAGGATGGGAGCTGAAAGGGAATCAAAGTGGAACCGACTGATTTTACAGATTAAAACCGAGGGCCTGGGAGAAGGCTCCATGGGAA